GTGTCCAGCTGAGTGATGCCTGGAACTGAGTAGGCGCACAGTTAAGTATCCATGGAATGAATAAAGAAATGAATGTGTAAATGAAGAACCCAGGATCCAGGACTCACACTTCCTGATTTTAAAACATATTATACAGCTACAGTAATCAAACAGCCTGGTACTGGTATAACAATAGACGCATAGACCAATGGACTAGAATTCAGAGTCCAGAAATACCGCATTTTTACACAAATCACACGCACCTTCTGCATTTGTTTGCCATCTGTGCCCTCCCTTCCCGCAAGGCACCCTCACAAGGGCTGCCATGCCAATCTTCTTCTACATGTTGCTGTAAAAAAAAATTAGCATAGAGCACTTATGAAAATACCTCATGGCGGAAGGGCGCGGCTGGCAAACAAGCACACAAGGTCTGCGTTATTTGTGTAAAATACGGTAAACCCAAATACCTATGGTCAACTGATTTTTGACAAGGGTGCTAAGTCCATTCCATGAGAAAAGAAGAGTCTCTTCAATAAATGATGCTGGGAAAATGGGATTTCCACACGCACAAAAATGAAAAAGGGTCCATGCTTTACACCATACACAAAAACCAATCCAAATGGATTAAGGACCTAAATGTGCACACTAAAACCATAAAATTCTTAGAACAAACAGGGAAACACTGTTAGCCCTAGTTTTCAACATTGGATTATCTAATATAACAAAAGCACAAACAGCAAAAGACAAAAAATGGGAACTCCTAAAAATTAAAAACTTTTTTCATCAAGACTTTGCAAAAAAAGTGAAGACAAGCTACAGACTAGGAGATATCCTCAGAAACCATGTATCCGAAAAGAATCTAATAACCAAAATATATACAAAACTTCAACAACATAACAACAAAAAGACAAGTAACCCAATCATAAAATGGGCAAAGGACTTGAATAGACATTTCACCAGAGGACATTCAATTGGCCACCAAACACATGAAAGGATGCTCAGCATCATTAATCAGAGATGCAAATCAAAACCACAATGAGATACCATTTTACTCCCAGTAGGATGACTAAGATAAAAAAAACAGAAAATAGCAAATGTTGGCGAGGATGTGTGGAAATTGGAATCCTTATCCCTTGCTGGTGGGAAGGCAAAAATGGTACAGCTGTTGTGGAAAACAGTGTAGTGGTTCCTCAAAAACTAAAAATAGAACTACCATATGACCCAGCAATTCCACTCCTAGGTGTATACCCAAAAGACTTGAAGGCAAAGACTCAGTAAGAGATTTGTACTCCAATGTTCATTGCGGCACCATTCACAATAGCCAAAAGGTGGAAACAACCTAAATGCCCATCAACAGATGAATGGATAAACAAAATGTGGTACATACATACAATGGAATACTACTCTGCCAGTAGAAGATATGAAGTCTTGATACACGCTATAGTATGGATGGAGTTTGAAGACATTATCCTGAGTGAAATAAGCCAATCGCAGGACAAATATTGTATGACCTCACCTATATAAAGACAAGAAAAGGCAAACGCACAGAGACCACAGTTTATTAGTGGTTACCAGGCCATGAGAGGGAGGGGGAAAAGAGGTTAACCACGACGGAAAACTTGTACTAACGGTAGGGTTGCACAGCCGATTATTGTAATTGCTGTAAGTTGTACTCCTGTAAAAAGTTGAAGTAACAAAAGTTGTGTGATAGATATATTTATAACAACAACGAAAAAAGAGTAGCTGCTGAGGCTGCTTATGTACAACCAAACACCTCACGGGATTTGGTTCCCTGGTTTGGAGGTTTAGGGTCATGGTTTCAGGGAACACTTCAGTTAATTGGCCTTATAACATGTTCAGTGCTTCCGTTTTACCTCCTACTTCATCATGTAGTTCCTGGGGTCTTAAAACCTTCCACAACAATTGTCTCTATTCACCTGGAGCAACAGAGGAAGAAGGAGAGTCTGGAATAGTAGGAGGATATGGAATGTGAGGCTCATTGACTCCATGAACAACTGCCTCCTTTGCCATGAGAGACAGAGAGAGCTGTTAACACTGAAGACGGCAAGAAGTGGCAGCAGCAGAGGCAGGAGGCCGGCAGGAGATGGTGTGGTGAGCTTCCTGGCCCATGGAGAGAGAAAGCTGAGTGCCTTCAAGCAGGTGGCTTGCTGGCAGAGTACATGCCTCTGGGCATTTGGTGGAGCTAGGTTTGCCGATCCACAGAGCTAGTGCTGAGCACCTTCGGGCCAAGGCTTACTGGAAGAGTGGGGTGCCTCTGTGTACTTATCAGCAGAGCTAGAAGAGCTTTTTAACACTTGCCTGAGCAGGACAGAGGCTGGGCTGAGGGGCCAAGGGGCCAGAGAGAGGTCTGCCTTAGGGCTCAGCTGAGAAGAGGCTGTCCTGATTGAAGAACTGTATCCTGAGTGTTCCTGAGCCTGAACTGTAACCTGTTACTTCCCTAATAAACCCCATAATTGTATGGGCTGTGAGTTCTGTGTGGCCATTGCAACGAATTATCAAACCTAGCAGAGAAGTAGAGATTGCCATGGGAGGGACAGATGGTGTCAGAATAGGTAACGACAGCTGAGAGAGAAGGTATGTCTGACCTCTGCCTCATAGGAATCAGCCTTGGGCTGCTGATCTTGATTCTCCCTCTCCTTGTGAAGTTATATGAGGAAGTCAGACGCTGACCCTGCCATACTATTTTTACAGAATTCTAACTGCTTTATGTGTATCTTCATCTTTCCCTCCTAACATCCCTCTGAGTCAGATGTATCATCTCTATTTTGCTGAAACTAAAGTTAGGAGAGGTTAAGTGATTACTTCAGGGTCACACTGGCAGTGAATGGCAGGGCCAAACTCAAACCCAGATCTGTCTGACTCCTGAGTCTGTCAGAAGCCACAGGTAGGGCTGGGAGAGTGGGGGGTCCAATCACTTGAGTTTTCCCTCTGGTCTTCACTTTTTTCCCATTTGGGAAGGCCCTGACCCAAGAAGACAGAGGGCTCCACTCCCGGCTTCTACTGCAGGCCTGGGGCAGGTGCCAACCCAGAGGGATCTCAGCACAGGTCCTGTTCCCACAGGGCAAACCACAGCCGGAGTTGAGGCAGGCAGACCATGGGGCATGGAGCAGGGCTCTCCCACAAATGCCAAGAGCCAAGGTGGCAGCTACTGTTGCCCCCACAATAACCCCCGGAGGCCTCCTGCAGCCTTCCTGCTATCCCCATGTCCAGGCTCACAGGAGAGGAGATGCTAGCCCCTTGGGGTGAGACAGTGCGTGCTTTGGGGGCTTTCAGATGCTGCCTGGGCAGCAGACGTTCCATAAACTAGTACTCAGCCACAGACTCCACCACGCTGGGGTGATGAGGCAACCACCAGGTGAAACAAAGAAACCACCACCTTCCCCTCAGCCACTGGCCTCAAGGATGGACAGAAAGTCAACAGGTGAAAGGAGAGCAATCCAGGTAGGGAGCAAGGCAGAAGCAAAGGCTGGAGGTAGAAAAGCATTGGGCTCAGTTTGCCAAGGGTAAAGGAGACTAGTGGGGTACAAGGCTGGAAACGAGGGCTGGGCTCTGATGTGTCTGCCATTCCCACATGTGGGGTTTAAATGTGGAGAGATACATTTGAAGAGTTTTGAAAAACATTTGGATCACAAGTCTGACCCAACACGATATTTCTCTATATTTTACTTATTAATAATAATTTGTTCTGTTTTCTATGTGCCACTCTTCTAAGTGCTTTATAAATATTAGCTTATTTGATTCTCATAACAATCGTATGAGTAGGTTCTATTATTTCCATCCTCAGATAAGTAAACTCAGGTACAAAAATTACATAACTTGCCCAACCTCATACAGACTGTAAGTGATGAAGCTGGGATTCAAATCCAGTCTGGCTTGAGTCTGAACTATTACACCTTACCAAGTTCTAAAGTTCTCAGCAACATTTGGCTGAAAAGTCTATCTTTCTTAAACAGGCTTTTCCCCAGCTTTCTCCAGTTTTGGTTTTATGGAGACACTCTTGACACTGTGCTGAGAGTCACACATATTTCATTTAGGCCTCACAATAATCTTCCCAAAAACCAAACCCGTTGCCATCGAGTCGATTCCAACCGATAGTGACCCTATTGGTCAGAGAAGAACTGCCCCATAGGGTTTCCAAGGAGCGCCTGGTGGATTCGAACTGCCAACCTTTTGCTTAGTAGCCGTAGCTCTTAACTACGACGCCACCAGGGTTTCCACAATAATCTTATAAGGTAATTGTTTCTATCCTGCTTTACAGAAAACTTTGGCTTAGAGAATTTGGCAAAGTGCTGAGCTGGGGTTCAGAACCTACAATTTCTCTACAATTTATCACCTTAACCCACTATTCTGCCTTAAGTATCCTCTTCGAGCATTTATTTCTCTTTCCAACACAACACCCAGTGCTGGACTAGGTCTGAGGGCTACAAGGGAAGAAAAGCTGTAAAGCAGGGCGGGCTGCAGTCTAAGGCTCTGGGGTCCCCTCGAGCTCGGGGGGCTTATCCTGGGCAATACTCCGCTATCCCCGGATGCAGACCCCCCACCCCCGGCTTAAGTGAACGAGAGCGCCGAATCCAACGTGCACCCCTTCCAGTTTGGCCACCAGGCTGCAATCTCTACATCCTGGCCGCGCCTGAAGCCCCGCCGTACGATCTGTCTTGCGCACTCTTCACCACCTCTCTTCTTACTCTTCACTCCAGCCTTGTCTGTGCTTCAGCACAGATGCCCACCTCGGATGAGGAAACCGACGTTCCGGCGGAGGACTGGTTGGTCTGAAGTTCCCACAAATAGCTAGGCTTCCGTCCTCAGCGTTAGGCTAAGCAGCTCTCGTGTACGGCATCCCAAAGATCGGCAAGGAGACCGCTCTCCCACCTGCAGAAATCGGAACACGGGCGCCGCCATCTTGGCGGCCTTCTCCGACTCGCCCGGGACAGGGCCTGCGCCTGCACAGATCAAGAGGGGGCGTGGCGAGGACGGACGAGGCGGGGCCTCAGCGGAAGGCGTGAGGCGGCGCGGGGCGGTGACGTAATGCGCCCCTAGTGGTAGGTGTGTTCACGCTCTCCTTCTGGAGGTTTTCGGTTCTGTTTGTACCGCTACGTCGGCGGGAGGCAGTGTCACAGGTAAGATCCAGGTAGAACTGAAACTTGAAATTTGAGGGACGGAAGGTGGCAGGGCTCAGGGGAACTGCAGACCCAGGACTGACTACCCGCCTCGCGATAGGCCTGACCCGCCCCGCGCGTCCCACTCCTGCGGGCTCTGGCCGTCTCTGCCCCACGTTTCCCCTAGGATGCGGTCCGTGCACAGGGGCCTTTCGGCCCCACGAGGCATCCTGGACTCCCATACCCAGCCCCTGCCTCTTCCAGCTACTGACCTCATTCTTTTCTATCCTTAAGTCGCCGAGAAGCAGCTGTTTGTCTGCGCCCGGGAGCTGCCCACTCTTGAAGTGACTGGCCTGGAAAAACGGTTGCCCAGATCAGGTAAGGATCATAGTGCATCTCTGAGCATCCCTACCCCATCCACCCTTTTGCCTGCCCTCCTGTGGCTTCCTCAGAGAACACTTGACTCTCCCTTCCCTTCCTAGGCGCACATAAGCCACGCTGGAGGGCCACACCCTTGAAGATAAGGGCGTACTACTTGCAGGTTCCCCCCTACAGGATGAAGCCACTCTGGGTCAGTGTGGGGTAGAAGCCTTGACTACTTTGGAAGTGGTTGGCCGCGTACTAGGAGGTGAGTGGGGCTACAGGGGCCCTAAACTGGTGCCTGGGGGCTATTTGTGGCCCTTAGACTTCGTTTTTCCTTCACAAAGTCTTTGCTTTAGTTCACAATATCTAAAAGGCAGCTGATTCTATGTTAAGATTCAGTGTTCTGGCTTATCTTGAAAAATAGGAAGATCTGGTAGCACTGGGCCTGTGTTCCCATATACCAACAACCTAGGTGCCCAAACTGAGTACTGACTCCTCCTTTGAAAGGCTCTGCAGTTTGCTTCAGTCCCCACCGCTTCCTATTGCTTCTCAAAACCAGTGTCGGTTACCATTGCATCGTTAGGCTTGTACTGTTGTTTTTCTTATAGCAAAGGAAAGTGAACTCTTTTTGTTCCTATGTCTCTATCAAAAGTGGGAAAACGAAAGCTGGATCGAGAGCATGGCGTGTTTCAAGAAAAGTGGGAGCGAGCTTATTTCTTTGTGGAAGTAAAGAATAGCTCTTTGTGTTTAATATGTAACCCAACAGTGTCTGTGTCAAAAGAATACAACTTAAGATGCCATTATGAAACAAACCATAGTAAGAATTTTGTCTGGTATACAGAAAAAATGCGTGATGAAAAACTGAATGAACTAAAAAAAGGACTGAAAGTTTTACAGCGTTTATCATCAAACGCAAATAACATAAGTGATGCTGCTGTGAAGTGCAGTTATGTAAGAAGTGAAAAAATTGCCCGGGCTTCAAAACCTTTTACAGATGGGGAGTTTATAAAAGAGTGTCTACTGAGCGCAGCCGAAATCATGTGTCCTGAACAGAAACAAGCATTTGCAAACATCAGTCTAACTGGAAACACTGTCGCTCAGCGAGTAAAAGATATGGCTGAAAACGTACAGGACAAGTTGTGAGAAAAAGTGAAATCATTTGTGGCATTTTCTATTGCAGTTGATAAGAGCACATATATAAATAATACGAGCCAGTTAATTATATTTATCTGTAGTGTTGATGAGAATTTTTATGTCACTGAAGAACTTTTGGACATGGTACTAATGACAGATCCAACATCTGAAAATGACTTATTTTTGGATGTTGAGAAAAGTCTTGAAAAGTTTAATGTTGACTGGTCAAAATTAGTAAGTGTGACCACAGATGGTGCTCCTGCAATGGTGTCTGATAACATTGGGCTTGTTGCAAAGCTTAAATCCAAGATCAAAACATTTTGCAAGGATACAGAACTCAAATGCATTCACTGCATCATTCACCAGGAATTGTTTTGTACTAAAAGGTTAAAACTAGAACATGTCATGGATGTAGTGATTAACACCGTGAACTGGATACCTTCCCGTGGCTCGAACCACAGACAGTTCAGTGCTTTGCTTGATGAATTGGATGCACAATATGGTAATCTCCTTTACTACACAAAGGTAAAGTGGCTTAGTCGTGGTACGGTACTGAAGAGATTTTTTGAACTGATAAAAGACATAGATTTGTTCATGCCATCCAAGGGAAAATCCCTTCCCCAGCTCACCAGTGAAGACTGGATCAGAGACCTGGCCTTTTTGGTTGACATCACAGACCATCTAAACACTGAATATTTCTCTGCAAAGACGTTCACAAGTCGTTACACAAATGTATGATTCAATTTGCTCTTTCCTAGAGAAACTGAGTCTTTGGGAAACTCGTTTGGCAGTAAATAATCTGGCCCACTTTCCTGCACTGAAGTCAGTTTCCAGAAATGAAAATGATGGCTTGATCTACATCCCCAGAATTGTAGAGCTGAAGACCCAATTCCAGAAAAGGTTCTTTGATTTCAAACATTATGAAAATGAACTCACATCATTTAGCTCGCCTTTCTCAATTAACGTTGATAGTGTTAATGAAGAGTTACAAATGGCAGTTATCGAACTGCAATGTAATATGGTATTGAAAACTAAATATGATGACATTGGAATATCAGAATTCTACAAATACCTCGGAAAGAGTTACCCTAAATATAGAAACCATTATGCAAACATTCTGTCCATGTTTGGAAGTACCTATGTCTGTGAACAGCTGTTTTCCGTTACGAAATTGAGTAAAACTAAATTTCGCTCCCAGTTAAAAGATACAAGATTGAATTCTGTTCTACACATTGCAACTCGAAACATGAGACCTGACACTGACATCTTGGTGCAGAAGAAAAGGTGTCAGGTTTCTGGTTCCAAGTCAAAGGAGTAACAGATTTTGAAAAGAATTTTAATAATTAAAGATTTCTGTTTTTCAGAGTGTATTTTTAAAGCTTAACTTTGAAATACCCGGTACAGGCAGTCCCCAGGTTATGAATGAGATCTGTTCCTGAGTGTGTCTTTAAGAATTTGTAGGTAAGTTGGAACAGGTGCATACGCTTCTTATTTAGCCTTACTTTAGTGCAAGAGAAGGCTTGAAGCTTTTTCAGTGAGTTAAAAGCTGCACGTGCAACAAGTGAAGATGATTGTAATGAAGAATTTGTTGCAAGTTTGGGTTGGTTCAGTCGTTTCAAAGTGAGGGCAAATTTATGTAACATTAAAGGGCAAGTTCAAGTTGTAAGTCAGATGGCTGTTTGTAACCCGGGGACTGCCTGTATTATAAATTGTGTATGTTATATACTTCTACCATGGTTGAGTAAAAAAATGTTGAGTGGTTTTTTTTTTTTGGTTGTTGTTTTGCATTTGATATTTCATATACCTGGCCTGCTGCACTTGTTTTTGTAACTTACTTGGCCACCCAGCTTGAGTTTGAGGCTCCTGCCTAATGGAGTCAGTGGACATGTTAGTTTTTAGGTCTTTCAACAAGTCTCAAGCTAGTGAGACGGTCACCTGCTGCCTTGAGCAAAGAACGGTCATCCAACAGGATGCGGAAATTGTTGAACAATATCATTAATACCACATGCAAGTAAAATTTTACTGAAGATAATTCAAAAACAGTTGCAGCAGTACATCAACAGGGAACTGCCAGAAAGTCAAGCCGGATTCAGAAGAGGATGTGGAATAGGGATATCATTGCTGATGTCAGATGGATCTTGGATAAAAGCCAGAACCTCGGAGCTATCCTTGGTTTCTTCCTTTCCCATAGCCCACAGCCTCTGAAAAGCGTCCACTGGTCTTAGAGACTAGAGTCACTGGTGACCTTAGGGAGAGTCCTTTTGGTGACACAATTGAAGGCAACATCAAATCTGACAATTCTCAAAACCACTTGGCCAGTTGTTCAGTAGGCGCTGATTGTGACATAGCTGTTGATGAGATTGTGCTGAGATTGGGCAGGAGGCAGGTGGGGGCAGGGTGCTACATAACCAGGCAGCTGGCCTTCCACTCATCAGAAGTTGTCCCAGATGCCAAAAGGGAACCCTGAAGGCCCTGAGCAATTGAAATCAATAGCACAAGATGTAAGAAACGCATCCATGCACAATCTTTACAGGAGAGTCGTGGGAGACCTACCTCAGGGCTTAATGACTCTTGTTTCATGTACATTTCTATCAAGTACAGTCTGATTTCCAAGGCCAGAGCCTGAGAAACAGCAGATTACCATAGGGAAACCAAAAGAGGAAGACAGAGAAATTATTATAAAGCAGAGTTGAAACAGGCACGATTATTGAGACTATTTACTGTAGGATAGGCAGCCTGGCATACTTCACCAAGAGGGTTGAGGTCAAATGTGAGGAAGCAGCAGAAGGCCTTGGAAAGACCTAGCCTTGATCCTGGCTTTGTCACAGCCTCACTGAGTTGACCACCAACTCACTGCACTTTTTCTCAGTCTTATAGTCAGTGAAACAGAGATTAACCTCTGTCCTGCCAATTAACTAGGAAACTATGTATGAAAAGTATATCTATATGGAAGTAAATAGAGGTTGTTATAAGACACTGAACAAGGTACAATCTGTGAGAAAGCAGAAAGGGCCTAACGTTTATTGATCACCTGCTGTGAGCCAGATGCTGGATACTTTTATTTATGTGCTTTCATCCCCCCAAAAAAGCCCTTAGTAGAGTTGTTACTGGGTACAGTTATCATCCCAATTTTAGTGACGAAAAAACAGAAAGCACAGAGAAGTTAACTAGCTTTCCAAAGTCACATGCTAGGAAAGGCAACACCACATCTTCTCAGAAGACCACGTGCAGCCGCCATCTTCAGGCCCCCCGGAATCCGGCAAAGATGACATCAACAGAAATGTATATCCTGTATGTCGTTAGTTGGTAGGTGCTGTTGAGTCAGTTCCATCTCCTCATGACCCTGTGTACAACAGAATGAAACACTGGGCCATCCTCATAATCACTGCTCTGTTTGAGCCCATTGTTGCAGCCACTGTATCAATCCATCTCACTGATGGTTGTCTTAGTTATCTAGTGCTGCTATAACAGAAATACCGCAAGTGGATTTCTTTAACAAACAGAAATTTATTCTTTCATCATTTAGGAGGCTAGAAGTCCAAATTCAGGGTGCCACCTCTAGGGGAAGGCTCTCTGTCTCTACCTGCTCTGGGGGAAGGTCCTTGTTGTCATCAATCTTCCCCTGGGTCTAGGAGTTTCTCACCTCGGACCCCAGGTTGAAAGGACTTGTTCCACTCCTGGCTCTTCTTACTTGGTGGAAATGAGGTCCCTCTTCTCTCTGCTCACTTTTGTATGTCAAAAGAAATTGGCTTGAGGTACAGCCTAATCCTGTAGGTTGTATCCTGCCTCATTATCATCACGTTGTGGTTGTTAGGTGCCCTTGAGTCGATTCTGACTCATAGCAACCCTGTGTACAACAGAATGAAACACTACCCAGTCCTGCGCCCTCCTCACAGTCTTTATGCTTGAGCCCATTGCTGCAGCCACTGTGTCAGTCCATCTCCTTGAGGGTCTTCCTCTTTTTGGCTGACCTACTTTACCAAGCATGATGTCCTTCTTCAGGGACTGATCCCTCCTGATAACATGTCCAAAGTATGTGAGACAAAGTCTTATTGCCTCTAAGGAGCATTCTGGATATACTTCTTCCAAGATAGATTTGTTCGTTCTTTTGGCAGACCATAGTATATTCGATATTCTGCGCCAACACCATAATTCAAAGGCATCAATTCTTCTTCTGTTTTCCTTATTCGTTCTCCAGTTTTCGCACCACACGAGGAGATTAAAAACACCATGGCTTGGATTAGGCACACTGTAGTGCTTAAAATGACATCTTCTTAATATTTTAAAGAGGTCTTTTGCAGCAGATTTGCCCAGTGCAGTGCATCGTTGTGATTTCCTGACTGCTGCTTCCATGGGCATTGATTGTAGATCCAAGTAAAATGAAATCCTTGACACCTTCAGTCTTTTCTCTGTTTATCATGGTGTCATTTATTGGTCCAGTTGTGAGGATTTTTGTTTTCTTTATGTTGAGGTGTAATCCATACTGAAGTCTATAGTCCTTGATTTTCATCAGTAGGTGCTTCAAGTCCTCTTTGCTTTCAGCAAGGAAGGTTGTGTCATCTGCGTAACACAGCTTGTTAATGAGTCTTCCTCCAACCCTGATGTCACGTTCTTCTTCATATAGTCCAGCTTCTCAGATTATTCGCTCAGCATACAGATTGAATAAGTATGGTGAAAGGATACAACCCTGAGGCACACCTTTCCTGATTTAAAACATGCAGTATCCCCTTGTTGTTTCCAAACAAACTGCCTCTTGGTCTATGTACAGGCTCCTCATGAGCACACTTAAGTGTTGTGGAATTCCCATTCTTCCCAGCGTAATCTGTAATTTGTCATGATCCACACAGTCTAACGCCTTTGCATAGTCAGTGAAACACAGGTAAACATCTTTCTGGTATTCTCTTCTTTCAGCCAGGATCCATCTGACACCAGCAATGATATCCCTTGTTCCACATCCTCTTCTGAATCCAGCTTGAATTTCTAGTAATACCTTGTCAATGTACTGCTGCAGCTGCTTTTGAATGATCCTCAGCAAAATTTTACTTGCATATGATATTAATGATATTGTTCAATAATTTCTGCATTTGATTGGATCACCTTTCTTTGGAATAGGCATAAATATGGCTCTCTTCCAATCAGTTGGTCAGGTAGCTGTCTTCCAAATTTCTTGGCATAGACGAATGAGCACCTCCAGCACTGCATCTGTTTGTTGAAACATCTCAAATGGTATTCCTTCAGTTCCTGGAGCCTTGTTTTTCACCAGTGTCTTCAGTGCAGCTTGGACTTCTTCCTTCAGTACCACTGGTTCTTCATCATATGCTACCTCCTGAAATGACTGAACGTTGACCAATTCTTTTTGGTACAGTGATTCTGTGTATTCCTTCCATCTTCTTTTGATGCTTCCTGCATCATTCAGCATTTTGCCCATAAAATCCTTCAATATCGCAACTCAAGCCTTGAATTTTTTCTTTAGCTCTTTCAGCTTGAGAAATGTGAAGTGTGTTCTTCCCTTTTCGTTTTCTAACTCCAGGTCTTTGCACATGTCATTATAATACTTTTCTTTGTCTCCTTGAGTCGCCCTTTGAAATGTTGTGGTCAGCTCCTTTACTTCAGCATTTCTTCCTTTTGCTTTAGCTATTTTACATTCAAGAGCAACTTTCAGAGTCTCTTCTAACATCCATTTTTGTCTTCTCTTTCTTTCCTGTCTTTTTAATGACCTTTTGTTTTCTTCATGTATGATGTCCTTGATGTCATTCCTCAACTCGTCTGGTCTTCAGTCATTAGTGTTCAGTGCATCAAATCTACTTTTGACATGGTCTCTAAATTCAGGTGGATCTACTCAAGGTTGTACTTTGGCACTTGTGTACTAGAACTAATTTTCTTCAACTTCAACTTCAACTTGCATATGAGCAATTGATGATCTTTTCTGCAGTCAACCCCTGGCCTTGTTCTGACAGATAATATTGAGCTTTCTTTTCCAGTGTCTCTTTCCACAGATGTAGTCAGTTTCATTCCTGTGTATTCCATCTGGAGAGGTCCATGTGTATAGTCACCGTTTATGTTGTTGAGAAAAGGTATTTACAATGAAGAAGTTGTTGGTCTTGCAGAATTCCATTATGCAATCTCTGGTGTCGTTTCCATCACGAAAGCCATAGTTTCCAACTACCAATCCTTCTTTGTTTCCAACTTTAGCATTCTAATCACCAGTAATTGTCAGTGCATCTTGATTGCATGTTTGATCAATTTGAGACTGCAGAAGTTGGTAAAAAACTTCAATTTCTTCACCTTTGGCCTTAGTGGTTGGTGCGTAAATTTGAATAATACTTGTATTAACTTGTCTTCCTTGTAGAGATATGGATATTATCCTATTACTGACAGCATTGTACTTCAGGATAGATCGTGAAATGTTCTTTTTTATAATGAATGAAAAACCATTCCTCTTCAATTTGTCATTCCCAGCATAGTAGACCCTGTGATTTTCCAATTTAAAATGGCCAATAGAAGTCCATTTCAGCTCACTAATGCCTAAGATATTGATGCTTATGCATTCCATTTTCATGTTTGATGATTTCCAATTTTCTTAGATTCATACTTCATACATTCCACTTTCCTATTATTAATGGATGTTTGCAGCTGCTGCTTCTCATTTTAAGTCATGCCACATCAGCAAAGAAGGTCCTGAAAGCTTGACTCCATCTACGTCATTAAGGTTGACTCTACTTTGAGGAGGCAGCTCTTCACCAGTTGTCTTCTGAGGGCCTTCCAACCTGAAGGGCTCATCTTCCGGCACTATATCAGACAATGTTCCGCTGTTATTCTTAAGGTTTTCTCTGGCCAATTTTTTTCAGAAGTAGACCACCAGGTCCTTTTTCCTAGTCTGTCTTAGTCTGGAAGCTCAGCTGAAACCTGTCCACCCTGGGTGATCCTGCTGGTGTTTGAATACTGGTGGCATAGCTCCCAGCATCACAGCAACATGCCAGTCCGCACAGTACAACAAAATGACAGATGCATGGCAGATTATCATCATAGAGGTTAAGATTTATAACACACAGGATAATTACATTAGATCACAAAATGGAAGACAGCCACACAATACTGGGAATCATGGTCTAGCCAAGTTGACACACATTTTTGGGGGACACAATTCAGTCCATAACAAGGATCTTCCTCTTTTTCACTGACCCTGTATTTTACCAAGCACAATGTCCTTCTGCAGGGACTGGTCCCTCCTGGTAACATTTCCAAAGTACATAAGATGAAGTCTTGCCATCCTCCCTTTTAAGAAGCATTCCCGTTCTGCTTCTTCCAAGACAGATTTGTTTGTTCTTCTGGCAGTCCATTCTGTGGCATATTCAGTATTCTTCGCTGACACCATAATTCAAAGGCATCAATTCTTTTTTTTTTTTTTTAATAGTACTTTAAAGATTTACAGAGTAAATTAGTTTCTTGCTAAACACTTAATACACATTGTTTTGTGACATTGATTGCCACCCCCACAACATGTCCTCCCTCTCCCCTTTTTGACCTTGGGTTCCCCATTACCAGCTTTCCTGTCCCCTCCTGACTTCTCGTCCTTGCCCCTGAGCTGATGTGCCCATTTAGTCTCGTTTTGTTTTATGGGCCTATCTAATATTTGGCTGAAGGGTGAATCTAAGGAGTGACTTCAGTACTGAGTTAAAAGGGTGTCTGGGGGCCATACTCTCAGGCTTCCTCCAGTCTCTGTCAGACCAGTAAGTCTGGTCTTTTTTTGTGAGTTATAATTTTGTACATTTTTCTCCAGCTCAGTCCGGGACCCTCTATTGTGATCCCTGTCAGAGCAGTCGGTGGTGGTAACTGGGCACCATCTAGTTGTGCTGGACTCAGTCTGATGGAGGCTGTGGTAGTTGTTGTCCGTTAGTCCTTTTGACTAATCTTTCCCTTGTGTCTTTGGTTTTCTTCATTCTCCCTTGCTCCACACAGGATGGGACCAATGAAGTATCTTAGATGGCTGCTTACAAGCTTTAAGATCCCAGATGCTACTCACCAAAGTAGGATGTAGAACATTTTCTTTTTAAACTATGTTATGCCAGTTGAGCTAGATGTCTCCCAAGTCCATGGTTCCCAGCCCTCAGCCCAGTGATTCAGTCCCACAGGGAGTTTGGATGTGTCTGTGAAGCTTCCATGGCCTTGCCTTGGTCAAGTTGTGCTGACTTCCCCAGTATTGTGTACTGTCTTCCCTTCATGAAAGTTACCACTGGTCTATTGTCTAGTGTTTTTTCCTTCCCACCCCTTTCCTCCTTAGTAACTATCAAAGATTGTTTCTTGCTGTGTGTAAACTTCTTCATGATTTTTTATAATCGTGGTCTCATACAATATTTGTCCTTTTGTGACCAACTTATTTCACTCAGGATA